GCAGGTAAACAAACCGGCCCGGCCCGCCAGGGGCTTTCCCTGAGCAAGCAGCGGACCAGCTTTGAGAACCACTGCTGTAGGGGTTCAAGAGCCTCTGAAAATCAGGACTTACATGACAACAACCTTGGGATGGTGTTCCATACTAACCCCTTATTTTCAATTACTTATCATATTGGCATTAAAAATCCTCCAAAATTGACACTTGATGTGCCTGAACTCAGGCTATGAACGAATGTGTATATTTGCCAAGTTTAAAAGAGAAATATAGGGATTTTGGAGGTGACAGACATTAACATAACCAACAGACATTTTAACATACAGCTCAAAGAGTGCTACCTGAGAGTCAGCATCATTCACATTTAATCCTAATTTTCCAACATGCTTGTTGACAAATTGCAAAAGCACCTAAAGAATGGGAGGGGGGAAAATGGAATTTTTAGAGAATTCATTAATAACATCTTATAATGCAAATGTCAATGTCTGTTTAACATTTAAAAGTTACCTTTTTCACATCATCCAGTTTGTCCGGTGCATGTGTGAATAATTCATCAAAGGCATCAGCTTCTATGGCAAAATATTCAATAAATGTTAATTAGGATTATCTGGAGTAACTACTAGACCGGTGGTTAAAATAAATTGAACTGGGAGGGGGGATCCCTCCCTGTATAAGCCCAGGAGAAGTCGAGTTGTGGGACAGTACTGCTCCCCAATATTCTCTTCCCCACTTAATAGAAGAGAGAAGAGGGAGCTGTGCTTCCCCTGACTTTAACACCTGTGTCAGACAAAATAGTTTGTTTTTATCAGCTTCCCTAATTTTCACAGGCATGGGTTCTCTTAGTTTGTGCTGCCATTAGCATGGGCCCTAGGCAAGCTGAAGTTCCATGGGTCCTATAGTTCATCTCTTTTCATTTGCGCACCTTATCCCTGAACATCTGCAATAAAATCAGTAGAAAATAAGGGTCATATATTACCATTCTTCAGTACCTGAAATTCCCATTGATATCAGTGGGAGTTTTGCACAAAAACTGAGGGTGGAGAATGGCCATACATTCAGTGATAGAAATATTTGCTCATAATTCTAAATCCATAGATTTGAAGGTCAGAAGGGACCATTAGAGTCTGACGTCCTGCATAACACATACCATAGAACCTCACACAGTAATTTTGAGTAGCATTACACATTAGAATTAGGGCTGGAAATTGGAAAGAAATTTGGACATTTTCAGTGAAAAATGGAAATGAAATTTTTGTGAATTCCCACCCTTATTTTCTGACCTGCTCTAATGAGAATTGTGTACATCTCCTCACAGTAATCCATGAACAAAATTGCTTTTGCCTGAGATGAACAAAGTTCTCCAACTCGATTAAAATCAAGGGCATTATGCCAGCGTAATTAAGAAGAGACTTTGGCTTCTATGGTGTGGGATGTGAATTGAGCTTTGTTTAGAAGAGAGACTACTCATCCAAATTAGCAGCTATACTACATAAAAAGGCTCCAGTGTTGAGAACATGCCACCGGGTCTCATTCTCCCTATTCAATTGTTGGTTCAGTATTGTTAGGAAACAAAGAATAACAAATCAATAGCAGGAATGTGTGTAAATCCTACAGCATTGTCACAAACTAAAGAGCCTTTTTCTGGAGCTAAGCTTTCTGTTTTTCTTCCTTTCTTTAAGCAAGATATGTTTTTTAAAAATAGATAAAGACTGAAGAGTGAATTAAGGTTTCTTCCTTTGACAGATTAATCTGCATGTTTTCTGCATTGTCTCAGTTTATAAATGAAGACCACTTAATAGAATAGCTGATAAAAAATAATGAAAATACATGTTCAATTAAATATTTTGTCTCTGCACTAGCTGTAACTGATCATATGAATTGCACAGAAGAGAATTAAAGCAGCCCCATTTATTCATTGAGGGTGAAATTTGCCCCTTTGCAGATAGCAAGGCTCAAACAGGCCTTGTAAGTCCTCAAAATGGAGCATAGTGGTATATAAGCCTTTTGCTTGCCCTCTTCACCCAGGTGAATTTCACAATGAAATGTTTTACTTCCCTCAGTAGTTCTGATGGTGCATTCTGCTTTGGATTAACCTGGTTGTTAAGGTCTGTTATCAAGTGATAATGAAGTTTCAAAACATTATTTTGCAAACTAAAGAAAACAGACCTGAATGCAACTGCCAGCAAGTCAGAAGCCCAATTCTGCAGCTATTACACACATGAATAGTTCAACTGAAGTAAATGGGATTCATCTCACGTCACCCCTCCATCATTTTGCCTCCCTCGATTTTATTTCTCATTGCCAGTATGCCTTTAGGTTCTCCTGTGGGGTGATCAATTGGAACCATGAGAGGCCCAGTTCTGATCTCCTCCCAGTATTATACCATTGTAACTCCACTGACTCTCATGGGGTTAGCCCTGATTTATCATGATGTCAGTGAGATCAGAATTGGATACATACAACTTTTGAAAACAGTATGCAGTAAAGAAACACTGAATTTGGCCTTCAGAGTACTTACTTGACTGGCCTTCTAAAGTCTCTCTAAAGATTCAACAACAAACAAACAAAAAGAGAATTAGCAAAAACATACAGCAGAACTAATCCAATTTCTAAGCCATAAGGATTCCTATGAAGTAGGAGATAGAGTACAGAACCTCACTAGTTATTTGCCAGAGGTAGCTTTCCAACAGACAGTTTTATAGCGCACTGTATTTATGTGTTCTTGGAAAAATATAATATTTTATTTGGCACACAGACTAACGCACATTTATTTTATAAGCACAATCTTCCAACGAGCTGCTCATAATACTAGAATGTTAAGTTGTGTTAACATATAAAATATAATAGTTGATGATGGAACTGTAGCAGGGAAAAACTGTTTCCAGTTCATGGCTCAACCTCCATATTTTCATTGTGTCCCATTGCTGAGCTCATGGAATAATTAGAGAATCTCACAAACTGAACAAGATCAGATTGTTCTTTCTTTAGCACCAAAATAAGGAAAAATTGCTGAACTCTGGTAATGTATTAATACAATAGCTATAAATTAGTAATATGTAAACTGGCTTTGTTTTTATACAATTGAACTTTTAACCTCAGATATATAAACCTAACATGCTTGGTTTACTAATTATGTCATTTATCAGGTCTTTCAAAGACCAATGAAAACCAGTAACGGCTCTGCAAGATGAGTAAATGCCTCTACTTCATGCAATAATTCTGTGGCAGTAGCATTTACTAAGCCCTGAAAAAGCTTAAATTACAGAACAGATTGTAACTAAACGGCAACCAGACATGATGTATAACTGTACTTTTTGGTAATAGCAATTTTAAAAAAAATTCTGATCAGGTCAATGTGTTGGTGTGACATATTGGGAATAAGTCAGTATGAACTTATGACTTTCAGTTTGATTTTTATGAACTCTTTGTATGATTACATGCTTATTGATTCTTTCACTGTATGCTGTCATGTTAAAATTACATCTTCCCTCTTTTGCAAAGGGTCTGACACCTAAGGGGTTGACTCTCAATAAGGACAATCAATAGTTTAATAACCATGCCCTAGGAGGACAGTGGAGACTACTGGCCAGAGATTACTGACTTACTAATAGCTCTTATCCATGGTAACAAATATAGAGAATGTTGAAGGCCACAGCTAGAGTTAGTTGAACACTGATTCGTTGAAATCAAAATGTTTTGATGAAAATTTTGTCAGGAAGGTTTCTAAAGTCCAGGATGGAGTTTTATGAGTGAGTGAGACACACCAACCCACCTCAGAATAGCCAATACCCTAGGGCCACCTAGGATGTTGATGACCCAGGTTCAAATCCCTGCTCCAAACCAGTGACTTAACCAGGGTGAGTGCCCTAACCTCTGGACTACTAGCTATTATTGGGGCGGTTTATCTTTTTTCTGCCTCTCTTGTATTCATTCATAAAATATTTTGAAAAGTTGCACTTTTGATCTGGTGCAGAACGAAAACAAATTTTGAAATCTGGAAATTTTTCATAAAATAAAATTGTTGCTTTCCAACCACCCCTAGCTACAGCCCATGGAGGACTAGAGGCTGGAATAACCCCAGGGGAAGGCCAGGAAGAGACAAGGTGTAAGAAACGGCTACTAAAAGGAGACTTACTTTAGCAAGGAGGGCCAGAACCAGAAGACAAGATTGAACAGAGAAGGGTGTCAGAGGATCCTGGACTCCCTGAAGGACATTGATTAATACCAAAAGAGCTCTCAGGAAGGATGAGAAAATTGAGGGAAGGTCTTATGTTCAGGCATTTGTTGTTTTAGATCTGAATATCTCTTGTGCTTTGTCTATGAGTAAAGTGTGTCTGGTTTAGAAGTTCCTTTGCAGAATGTGTGTGTGTTTCCCTGTTTTAAGTCTCACAATGTCCCAGAAAAGGGAAACTGTAAACCAGGGTATCAACGTGGGTGGAATTCTGGGAAGCACATGCTTAAGTTATTGGAAAAACCAAGGCAGAGCCTAGGCAGCTAGACCATGGGATCCCACATCCCAGCAGGGGTACTAGATAAGGGGTCTGTACCCCAGGAATGTGCCAGAGAATGAACCCAGTGGCTTAAAAACATGTGGGAACCAAAGATTGAATCCAATACAGCAGCCTGGTGTCTGGCCACAAACAAAAATTTAACCAGGGCTGTAACATTTCGTTGCTTGGGATATTTTTTTAAATAGCAACAGCCACACTATTATTTTAATAAATGAAGTGATCATTTCAATCCTCCTTTGTTATACAATGTATAAAAAAATATTTCTTCTCTTACCTGTTCTCTGTGATACATTCCACTGCATTTTCTGTCCTTAATCCTGTTAAGGTACGCTGTTAAAAGGAAAGCCAATATAGAATAATGATGTTTAACTGCAAGGGCTATACAAAGAAATCTGTAATAGTAAAGGCAACTTTTATTAACTGTTTGCAGCTCTCCAAATAGGGATTAAGCAAGCTTTAAGGGGGATACAGGCCTCATGCTGTGTTCTATATGCAAGTGAACTTCACCCACAGTTTGACTCAGTACTCCCAACTTTCACAATTATATCACAAGTTGTGGGATATGTGATGTTTTTCTTAAAGCCCCAGATCCTAGATTTCATGTAACTATGTGAAAATCTGTTTTCATTTCATTACCTAAATAAATAAAATTCTAAAAGGTAAGTTCCTAGCTCTCATAGGTGTGGAGAAAAGCTTGAAAATGTGACCCAAGTGCACCCTAAAGTCACAAAAATCAGAAAGTAAATAAAACCCACAAATTTTAAAAGAAAATCTCATGATTTTTAGGCCAATCTGAGGATTTGGGGACAAATGAATTTTGAATAGTTGGGGTTATAATCAGTTATAATTTTCCATCCACCAAGAGCAACTCTGCTTTCAGTCTGAATGCCTTTTATTTTACATTAAGTGGAAACAGCAAAAGCATATCAGGAAAGTCTCCATGACAAAGCATTGTGTTTGTAGCCTCTGTAGAATGCTACCTCTGAACTGAACACAAAATGGCTGGTTACTCCTGCAACCAACAGATTTCTAGAAATTAAAAGGTGAATTACACAGAAAACAAAAGCATAACAGTTATACAGTGATATACACTTTTCTTCCACTGTATTTTTTAATTTCTTGTGAGACCTCTGTAACCCCATGGCAGCAAAGAAAAGAGCCATAATTACCTCAATGATTATTACTTCCACACTAATATTTGAAGGGATAGGCAGATCCGGTTGGAAGTGCTTTGCTATTGCAATCAGAAGATATAATGTGCTCAGTAAGTCCTTCTGGAAGATGGCTGTTTCATGTAAAGAAAGCAAATTATAAGTAATCTGCAAACTCATTACAGCCTAATAGCAATACTCTGCATTCCCATTGTGCCTTCCTGAGAAAGTTCTAGTGCTTTACAACCAAAACATGAAATATGCCTCCAAATACACTTGTGAGGAAGGGCAGATTAGTCCCATTTTATAGCTGTGGGAATGAGGCACAGAAAGATTAAAGAGACCTGTTCAGGGTCAAATAGGAAGTCTGTAGTTAGACACAGGAGAACTGGGTTCAGTTCCTGGCTATATTTCAGTGCCTTAACCCCAAGATCATCCTTCCCTTAGCAGCATCTTCTTAGCCCCAGAACAATATATTTTTATGAGGTAATTTCCTTGCATTTTACTTCTGCACATACAATCAATATTCCATTTCAGCTGGCTCTCTTCTAGTTGTAAACACTGGGCCACAGCTTCCAGAATAACGGCAAGTTTACGTTTCTGTTTTTTTTCTGTCAGTGCAATCTTCTCAACATCCAGCCTGAGAGATCCTAGTTTTTCTGAGATGGAGCATAGTTAAAACAAAACAAAGCAAGATGGATATGTTTTAACAGTACTGTAGAGACAATACAAAATCATAGCAGAAATACCAAAAAAGTCTTGATATAAGTGATCAGTATAATTTAATAAATTATATAATGCAGACCCGAAGCCCGCAATTCGATGTGCACAGGTACTCCCTTGCGTTCATGCAGAATCTCAATGACATCAATAAGGCTCCACACATGGTTCTGATTGCAGGATTGGGGCCACAGGCTACAGGTTAATTTTTAGCCACAAGTGCTCTACACCCTGGCTTTTACCAGTGGGAACTGCAGGAATCCACTGAGTGAATTTGCCCTGTAGATTGGTATGTGTGCTAAGCACACAGCGGTTCATATAAAAAGAAAAATCTTAGTTTATAGTTGTGACACCACAGCCCCAAAGTATAAAAGAAAACCAATCCTATTCACGAGCCTGGTGGCATCACTATGATTTACGAGATTTGAGCAGAAGATTAGGAGGTGAGAGCCAATCCAGTTGCAGTCAAAGCAGAATGGAGAAGAGGGTAAAGACCGCAGTAATTAGAGAGATGGTGGGAATGGTAGACCATAACTTTAGGTTGGGCATTGATTCAAGAGGCCAGACCTTCAACTAGCATAAAATTGATGTTGATCCATTGAAGTGAACATAGCCACTTTGATTTACAGCAGCTGAAGTTCTGGCCTGAGGTCTCAGACTATGGCTTTTAAAAAATATACATATTTATAATTGTAGAGGTGATTCCAGCTGGTGTTTATGGTAATATCATAAATCATATTCACTATCATGGTTTATGATGTCATCAGCACTTCTTGGAGGTGTTATAACCTCAGACTTCAAAGTTAACCTTTTTACTCTCTATATAAACAACGGAATAAAAAGACTTTCCAAAGGGTGGCAGGGAAGTGTCAAGCACTTGTTCAGGATTGCAATTACCACATATGGTTCACAGTGCAGTGCTCATCTCTATTTGAGTGCAAGAGGCATTAATAATTAGTAAGATACCAGCAAGCAAAGCTGTTCTTACAATTTAGTGTCTTTGGTTTTTATTTTATCTGTGAGCTTCTGCACTGAAGAGCATGCGAGATTTATTAGGGAGCAGAGCTCAAAGAAGCAACTTACCCAAGAGATGATGAAGTATCAGCCCATCAAACAGGTCTTCTTCCAGGCTTTTTACTACTATGTGTTCCTGTTTCAGGGTTGTGTTAATCCAATCTATCAAGAGCTGTAGGAAAAAATCAAACAGTCAGCAATGATATCATAGAATATCAGGGTTGGAAGGGACCTCAGGAGGTCATCTAGTCCAACCCCCTGCTCAAAGCAGGACCAATTCCCAACTAAATCATCCCAGCCAGGGCTTTGTCAAGCCAAGGAAGGAGATTCCACCACCTCCCTAGGTAACGCATTCCAGTGCTTCACCATCCTCCTAGTGAAATAGTGTTTCCTAATATCCAACCTAGACCTTCCCCACTGCAACTTGAGACCATTACTCCTTGTTCTGTCATTTCCACCACCGAGAACAGCCGAGCTCCATCCTCTTTGGAACCCCCCTTCAGGTAGCTGAAAGCAGCTATCAAATCCCCCCTCATTCTTCTCTTCTGGAGACTAAACAATCCCAGTTCCCTCAGCCTCTCCTCATAAGTCACGTGCTCCAGACCCCTAATCATTTTTGTTGCCCTCTGCTGGACTCTTTCCAATTTTTCCATATCCTTCTTGTAGTGTGGGGCCCAAAACTGGACACAGTACTCCAGATGAGGCCTCACCAATGTCGAATAAAGGGGAACGATCACGTTCCTCGATCTGCTGGCAGATATGTCTGTTGTTGGAACAGAAAGTGGGAAAATAAATGGTAATACTTTACCATCACAAGAGTGCACCTTCCTCCTTTGTCTTTTGTTTTGTTTTCATCCTCCATTGAGTCTCTCCTTGTCTTTATTTTATTTTAGTCTTCTCTCTCTCTCTCTCTCTCAACACCATGCTCCTATTTTCTCTTTCCAACTCTCTTCTCTCTCCCTTTTCATTTTCTCTGCTCCTCCCCCACATCCGCTTTATTTTCAATTCATCTCACTAAGTGGTAGATACACAGTATGAAATGTAACACTTCTTTGTGTGGTAAAAGGAGGTGCTCAGATTGTTTGTGTCCCCTCTGCTGTGGTTGATAGAATGTGTTTCAGCACTTCAAAATATTAAACGCCTAACGGGTAGAATTCATTCTGTGCAGAAAGGCAGTGAAACCCCTAGGTGAATGTGTGTTACGGGTCCTCTTCTGTGCCTGATCCGCGGAGAATATTAGTCTGTTACAGCCCAGCTACAGAGATTTGGCTCTAGCTCAAGCTATGACAGCTCATGCTTTAATTCTGAAGCCCCCAGGTCTATGGTCATGTCTGTCACAATTAAACCCTACTTGGAGGGCTTAATTGGTGTATCAGTTTTGTGCTGCTTCTCTGTGCAGGGGTGTATGGAATCCTGAATAAGACTATTTTCCCCTCATTAGACCGTTCTGCAGGCTGAAACATTCCAGTCCATATTGTTACTCTGAAGACATGCTTCTCAAAGAAAAATATATAAAAGAAAACTTAAAAACCCTATGAGAGGTTTGAAAATTCACAAGACATTAAAAAACCTCTCTGCTCTATATTGATGAGCTTTCAAAGTGTGTGTAATGCACATTCAAAGCCAAGAGGCAGCAGGATTCCACTCAGTGAACTGTGGTTATCTTCACCTAATGCCTAGAGTTCAAGTTCTGACGATCCATTGGATTAGTGTAGTTTGAACTGGCAAGCTGAGGGTAATGGCATAAGCTGATGAACTGCACTGCTGAAAATAGAGTCACAAGCTTCCTGGTTCACCTGTTTTATCTTTTAACAGCCATCTCCCTAGCCTACAGCTTAGGCAACATTGTCTTACCTCTAGCTACCAGGGTCTCCCCAGGCAGCCATACAAAGAAATGTATCTGAAAACCCAGGAGAAAAGAACAGGTAGGGAAAGCAAAAAAAAGAATAATTGAAGCAGAAGTTTGCTACTAACTTCTTCTTGCTTTAAGCACTTCACCTTTTACCTGTAGTTTAATATTCTTGGCAACTGAGAACCCCCAAAGCCACCCGGAAGAGAACACCCAATTGAATCAGGAAACTAATTTAATATTTTCCACAAGTGAGTTTCTTTGCTTCTCTAAGGCAGCCCTTGAAGAGACCCTCCAAGTCTCCCATTATAATCGCCTCCTTAAAGTCTCTGTGTCAGAGCTATGAACTCTCCAGACAAGGAAGACAATGCCTGCCACTCCCTGATATGCCAGAAGGCATTACTGATGGTGAGCAACATAAAGCATTCTCTCTCTTCCCCTGGCCAGTGAGGAAACAGGTTAGTCAGTCAAACCCAGGTTGCACGCGCTGTAATCATGAACGGGGTCAACAGCAGAGCTCACAGGAATCTTCACAAAAACAGACTAAAGAAATCCTTTATTTTGGCAATTTGTGAAGAATGAATTCAGTGTCTTTAGTGATTCCTTCTTGCTATACCACCTCTCAAATTCTCTCATTTATTAAAATATGGTAATGGTAAAAACCTGTTGCAAAAATTAAACCCTTCATGAACTGATTGAGAGCTCATTAGGTTTTAGGGAACATATAATATAGAAACACACAAACGTACGTTTAGGGCTTTGTGAATATGAGCTATACATACACACCAACACTCAAAATACCTGTCACAGTTTTAATATCTCTGTAACTGTGAAAGGTACTGGTGTGCTGCCCAACGAGATCTGTCATTTTACTGATCCTTCCAAACAGCAGGTTCGGTGTGATGATATCCAGGAGGCTATCACATGAGAAAAGCATCTTGAATTAGGTTTGAATATATAACAAAGAAGGGGATTTTCAAAGTCTCTGTGAAGTAAGTGCTGCTGTTTAACAACTGGGTTCATTTTACTCAATTACATTAACTAGAACCTAATGGAATTTACTGTACAATTTTGAAAGCTTTTGTTATGAATGTGAATGGTGACTTGCATGACCAGTGTCCTCTACAGTGATCTTCATTGCTCGCTTCAAGATGGCTTGTACGGATGGTACTGGCCACTGGTGTAGAAAGGATACTAGACTACACAGACCACTGCTCTGAGCAGTGTGGCAATTCCTATATTCCTATCACACGGTCAGGGCAGCAAACCGAAGTTGCTTTAAGGGTTAGCCTTTACTAGTAGCAAATGTTAACATTTGATTTATTTTTTGTTTGTTAGACTCCTCTTTGATATTACACTGTCATTTTCTTTATGATGAAACTCTTGGATATTTTGGGCTCAGAAGTTATCCAGCTGGACACTTTGGACATGGACTAGGTCTCTCAAATGCTAGAACCTCTTCACACAACACAGCAAAAGTCTTGCTTTGTCTGAGTTAAGCACTGAGACTTGATTCTGCCAAATGCTAAGCTCTTGGTCACAGATCCAGCAAAGCACCTGGAAGCAAAGCACCTTTATGCCTGTGCGTAGTCCAATGGATGTCATTGGGATTACTAACCTGCTTACGTTTTTTGCTGGTCTGGGGCTAGAGTGCTCAGTACCTTACATGATGGAGCCTGATTACACAACATTTAAAAACAAGGGTCTATGTGTAAATAATAATTTAGTAAAAGAAATGATACCATTTGTAGTTCTTCCAATTTGGGGTTATTGTAGGACGTAGGATTTATGAATTTCCTCTTTTCTCCTATAAACAGAAGTGAACAATATCCATTACTATTCTCTGATGTGACTAATGCAAGTTTTCTATAACTGCCCTCAGTTCAATATCGCCCCATTTTGCTAATTACATCATGAAAAAGTGTACTCATTTGTAATTTTATAGATTTCCTATGAGGGAGAAAATGGCATATCAGATCATTACAATTGCCTATTAGAAATTATCTTTCCAGGGAATTCAAATTGATAAGACCAAAGGGACACTTTCTAAAAATAAACAAAAACACAGTTTGGTTTGGTTCTTTTGTGTGAAACGTAAACCTCATTTAGAGGATTAGCTGGAACTTGCAGTCACTCTTCATAACCCGCCTATGGAGAGTTGGAGACTAAATTCCATGTAATAGGGTTACTTACTTACACTTGATTGAACCTGGAAATAATGCTGTAAAACAAGTGAGATTCATTTGTGCTGAGAACTTCCATTTTTTTGGTTCTTTGGGTCCCTCCTCTCCCTTTCTTCATTGCTGGTTTATAAAACACATACCTTGAACAACGTCATTCTTAAGTGGTGAATGATGAAGCGCACTGGGCTGTGCAAAAGCAGTGAAAAAGTCTGGTTCCATTGTATTATTTTTTTGCTCCTAGAAAATTGAAAAAAAAAATTCAAAATGTGCTAGAGCCAAAATGAGTACTAATGAGGGAATATGCACCAAATGAAATTCTTTCTTTCAGCCATTTTTGAAGTGTTTGTGGGTGACCTACTTTTAAACATGCAGCAACATATATTTAAGCAACATTAAAATTAAAATGAAGTTAATCAGTTTTTTCCTGGAGACAAAAAGCGCTACAGTATTAAAAAAATGTTTTAACTCCAGTCAGTGCTGCTTAATCTGAATTAGATCAGCAAAATCCTATTGCAGTTCAGATGATAAATGCTTCAGCAGGAGACATCGGGGTGCAAATTATAAAAATGGTCAGCACTTAACTGTTTGAGATGAATAAACCAAGAATATAGCAGATCTAGAAGACTGTATGTATTTTAGAAGGAAGTTCAAAAAAGCTCAGGCTTTGACATTTCCCTTCCCAACCATAGCTGCCCTGAAATAAAATGGGAATGACAGCACACAAAGGAGAACAGACCAAAGTATCTTGTCAACATATAGAAGACTATGGATGGGATTTTCAAAACTGGATAGGAAGAGTGGGAGAGGGTAGCAGACGCCAAAGTGGGGGTGAATTGGATAGAAGCAAAGAGGGACAAAAACAGTATAGGGGCACAGAGGCAGAAGGGTCTATAACCACTAGAGAACATTCCCCTACATCGGGGTGGCCAACCTGTGGCTCCCGAGCCACATGCGGCTCCCTGTATAGGCACCAACTCCAGGACTGGAGCTACAGGCTCCAACTTTCCAATATGCCCAGGGGTGCTCACTGCTCAACCCCTGGCTCTGCCACAAGCCCTGCTCCCACTCCACCCCTCCCTGAACCTTCCCCTGAGCCTGCCATGCCCTCACTCCTCCCTCTCCCCGCCCGTCCCCTTCCTTCCCCCCCTGGAGCCTCCTGCACGCCAAAAAATAGCTGATCGGGAGGTGCGGGGAGGGAGGGGGAGACACTGATTGGTGGGGCTGCCGGTGGGCGGGAGGCGCTGGGGGTGGGGGCGGAGAGCTGATGGGGGGCTGCTGACATATTACTGTGGCTCTTTGGCAATGTCCATTGGTAAATTCTGGCTCCTTCTCAGGCTGGCCACCCCTGCCCTACATCACCTGGAATTGTATCTTTCAAAAATTTTAAACATATCAGGGAGAGCAGAATAAGTTTGTACATACAACCTTAATCCTAAAATTTCCTAACATTAGAATGCTTGACTTTGCAACCTTAACATTCTTTTAATGTAGGATTTTTTATATGTAATATAAAAGGCTGAGAAAGCTAGGCTTACTTAGTCAGGAATGGTAAAGAGCTAAAGGAAACTAAGATTTTGAAGAGTATAGTTAAAAACTGAGCAGTCTCTATTTACTTTGTCCTATAATATAAGAACAAGAGTTTAACTTATTACACTAATGGTAAGTAAATTTAAATTCACTACAGCAGGAAATCACGTCATATACTGTAACTGGATTTTAAGGGGTTGGATAATAACATTTGTAATTGTAGTATGCAAGCTAAAAATAGGGATATTAAAATCTTATACATCAGTTTACAAAATGATCATCTGCAGGGGTCAGAAAGGCCTACAACTTGCATCACCACCAGACATTTATATATAATTATTATTATATAATTATATATAGTATAATTATTATTGCTCATTATTTGTATTACAATCGTCTGAGATTTGGGCTACATCATGCTAAACTCTGTACAAACACAGAGTAAGAGTCAGTTTCTGCCCCTTACAATCTAAGCAGACAAAGGGCAGGAAGGGAAACAGCATTGTATAGCTAATCAGGTGCATTCTGGAAGTGAGGGCCACAGTTCACCTTCCTTTGAAGCATCAAATCTTAGCTATTTCTGGAGGCAGAATATCAGATATCATGGATAAATAATCTGTCCAGTATTATTAATGCTATGTTCCTATGGCCTAATGAATAGAGCACTGCATAGGGTCTCAGCACTGCCATGGACCTGCTGGGTGACCTTGGGCAAGTCACTACCCTTCCTGTGCCTCAGTTTTCCCATCTGTAAAATGGGGATAAGGATACTGACCTCCTTTGTAAAGCATTTTGAGACCGATGAATGAACAGTGCTATATAAGAGCTAGGTATTATTATGAAGAGGAAACATTTCCCCTCTTATTAAAAAAAGTTCCAAGTCTCAAAAATATAGGGGAAGAAGTACATTTAAAGGAAAGTGGGGCACCCTTTGTTAAACATTCACATTGTGAGAACAGGAAAACAGAATAATCACTAGGTGAGAGATCCACTGCAAATAGTATTGCACATCTGACATGGAAGACCTCTGAGGTACAGTCTCTTGCTTTGATAGCTTAAAACTCCAAACCCCTTAGAATCTCTCTCACATTTTTATCAGGGCTCCATTATAAGGAAAGTGAATGTTGCACAACACAATAGACACAAAATGCACAAAACTGCTGGAGAGAATGTATTTCATCACTATGGTGCAAAACCAAATGCCAGCTCTGGAAATGGAGTTGGCAAGAATGAAATAATTATAAGAAATGGAGCCTTCTACTGCCTACATAAGAGTAACAACTGAACTATTTGAGGAACGTTGGACCAAGGGAAATGAAAAATATAATTAATATAGTGGAAGATTTTCATATGCACTAGTGGAAATTAGATACCTAACTTGAAAGTCAAGGGGGGTTAGGTGTCCAACTGCCACTTTTCCCTTTAAAAATCTCTTTCTCAGAACTCTTAGACGTGTGTACACTTCCTGTAATTCATACCCTATATTGCCTCAGTGGTGCTGTTCCCCCCTACCTCTTATATCGGTCACTCTTCCTTTAATACTTATGGTTGAAAATAACTTGGACGGTCAACAATTCTGCTTCTCTCTAATAAAAAGTTAGTAACTAAAAACACACGTGGGATATTGGGGAGGCCCCCAAAATCAGACACCACATTTGAGATCTTGGCATCTCAGTTTCCCCATCTGTGACTTGAAGAGAGTAACACCTACCGCTGAGTGGTTGTGTGGGGATTCATTTGATAAGGACTAGAGAGAGGTTTCCTCTCAGCCCATAGTAAGGAGCATCAGGTAACTGTGCCAGCCCAGGCTCGGACTAGAGCCTGAATAGTGACACCATTCGATTTCTACTCCCCCGGCCTTGTTCCTGTGAGGGAAGTAACCTGCTCTAATCTGATACCAGGTGTCAGTTACTCCCCACTCTGCACTAGCTCAGTAATGCTGACTGTCAACTACAGTCAAGACTCTGCCCTTGCCTGTCATAGAATCATAGAATCATAGACTTTAAGGTCAGAAGGGACCATTATGATCGTCTAGTCTGACCTCCTGCACAACTCAGGCCACAGAATCTCACCCACCCACTCCTGTATCAAATCCCTAACCTATGTCTGAGCTAATGAAGTCCTCAAATCATGGCTTAAAGACTTCAAGGTGCAGAGAATCTTCCAGCAAGTGACATCTGCACAGGAAGACGGAAGGTGGAGGGGCCCAATGGTGGTTGCTCTCCCTGCTGAATTGGGACCCACCATATTGACTAAACCACCCAGAGGAGTGAGGATGTGCCCGACAACCCTTTGCTCCACTGCATGAGCATGTAGGGTGAGCCACAATTGTGCCCTAATTATTCATGAAGCACTTTAAGGCTATAAAGGGACTACATATAGTAGGTATGACATTGTAATATTAAATCCATAGATTGACGGTGGCCATCTTGGCCGATACAGTCTGTACACTGAGAAATCTCCTGTTACTTCCAGGGAGAATATTGATGTGGGGTTGTTTCAAGCCCTTATTTTACAATAAAAGTGGGTTATTGTGCAGTGTCAGGCAAGTGACCCAGCACTGCATGTCTAGCCCAGTGGAAACCTAGATTCTAGATCAGAATTTGCTGCAACCTTCTCCCTCACAGGCTCTTCACCTCAGCTTCACCCCACATCTGCCCTTCTTACCTTCATCTTCACCCCTGTCCCGTCTCCCTCGCCTCCTTCACAACAGTGTCCCCTCCCTCTTCACTTTTCTTTTCATTTAGCGTACTTCCTTCCTCCTAAACCCACAAAAAGAGGTGTGTGTGGTGGGGGGGGGGAACACAGCACTAAGATGACATTTGCCATTATCAGACTGTTCACTCTGCTTGTGTGTTCTTCCCTTTTCCCCTCCCTGCGTCTGCCTTGCCTTTTAGATTGTAAGCTTTTAAAGTCAGGGACTATCTGCTACTCTGTATAGTGCCTATTTTTGCCACTCTCTCACTTCCCAAGCCAACCTGGGTTCAGAATGCTGGGGGGCTGGCTCCTGGGAACGTTGGCTCCTCTCATGTATTAAGGAGCTGTTTTGGCAAGCTGAAAAACCTTGGGGATCTCGCACACATTTATGATTTACGCTGGCAAGATGCTGAGCACCTACCGCTACAGGAGTTGGAGATCTCAGCATGTCACAGGAAGTACTTAGAACAATGCGAGAACAGGCCTTAAATTAAAAATTGGTGGCAGCGTACATAAATATACCCTTAGGGCTCAATCCAATGACCTGCCTAGCAGCTGAGGTTGGAGGGCCTCAGCATTTCATAGGATCATTAGTTATTATCATTAAGGTGGATTCTGGATCAGGCTCGAAGTTACACTCTAGGGCAGGTGTGGCCAAACTGCAGCTCGCAAGCCACATGTGGCTCTTTGATGATTAAAGTGCAGCTCGCGAAGCTGACCACTCCCCCCATTCGGCTTCTGTCCCGTGGAGAGGTGCTGGGGTTAAGGGCTTCTGCCCAACAGCGAGGGGGGGTTTCGGGGCTTCTGCCCCATAGGAGGTGCCTGCCGTGGGGCAGAATTCCCTCGCCCTCCCAGTCCCACCCCACTGCAGGGCAGGAACCCCGGCAGGCACGCCCCACAGGGCTTAAGACCTGAGCCCCAGCAGGCACTCCCTCCCTCTTGAATTTCTGAAGATTATAGTATGTGGCCCAGCGGGTCAGTAAGTTTGGCCATCCCTGCTCTAGTGAAACGCTCAAAAACTTGATACAGTAAGTTTCAGTTCCAAACAACCCCCCCAGGATGTCTGTAGACATCCCAAAAAACTGCCTGCTAAAGGTTTACATATTGCACTAACATCATGGGGGAACGTGAATGGGTTTGGAATCCTTTTTCTATTTCAGTTCCTTAAATGCGCTGGGAGAAGTATTAAGATTGGAGTTGGTCATGCAGGCCTGCTGCAATGGGGCTCTGCAGACTCTCTTTTCTATTTTTCTTTTTACTTCTTTTGCTATCAGGCTATTTTATCAGGCCTTGCATCCATGCATGCATTATTTACTGGTACATGGAGAACAATACTCGTTTTAGTCCAGTTGCTAGAATACTGATTGCAACAATATTGTGTATTGGAATTTTAAAATTATATTGGCCTTACTCTTGACTCTTCTTGCAAAATGGCATCATTTGGTTCTGAGTTCTCAGTTCTTGAGACAATATCCTACATTTTCTTAGATCTTGAGAAAGGCAGAAGCTATTTATTATTCTGCTAGGGGTAGTCAATAAGTTTTCAGGTATGTCAAGCGTTGCTAGAATATTATAAGCTGCAATGCAACAGTTCCTTAATTGCTGAAAATAGCAGATAAGATTGTTCTGATGGCAAAATAATAATTTTGTATTAATAGTTCAAATCACCTAACTTTGTGTCTACTATCCCTTCACAATCTGGTTCCCCAAATTTCATTGAGCTAGTACATATGTTTTACTGCTCATAATGCTACCATAATTATAATCTACCATAGAATATACATGAAACACTTACTTTTGCAGATGAGGACACCAAGAAGTTTGAATTGATTTATTTCCTGTTGGAAAAAGCCAAAAGCGGTATTCCAAAAAAGCTCAAAATTAGTACCAGACAAAAGGCTTTCTAGTCTGAAAAAATAAAAACGGCATGTGTCAGGATTCAATCAATCCACCTAATTTTATACTGCTGCCATTAGAACACCACAATGAGAAAAGTAGGCAAGAAACAAAAAGAAAGACTAGTTCTTTGCACTCAGTTTAGAACAGTCCCTTACTTCCTCATTTTGCACTGTGGTTTTCAAGAGAAAAGGTTGGCTTGTTAGCAACAGGAAAGAGATGACGTTATGCCATGTTTAGCCAGTATAATCAATTTGCATATGAACATTTTGCATAAAAGAACTGACACCATGTTGCCTTTAATAATTCTCTAAGTGTTCCTCAAGGGGTCTAACCAAGGCAAGGTCATGGGAAAGGAGTATGAAACCTATCATAGGATAAAGTTTTGGGCAGCTTTGTGTTGAAATTGCTGCCTTCCATTCAAAGCAGCTTGAAGATTATCAAGAGGCAAGTTACACACAGTTCTTATGTTACATTTTAAAAATGAAACCACGATTCTGTTCAGAGCCCTAATGTCAACACGTATGGTCTCTGCTAGCGTCTGTAACTACTGCAGTAAACGTGCATCTAAACCAGGGGTTCTCGCAACAAATTTTGGTGGCCTCAGAGCGCAGCTACTAACTCTTGCTGGTGGCCTCATTGACACTTTTTTCCTAAAATTATTTATTTTTTTCTACAGTTAATAAAGTAATATGCACATATATACATCCACATCTTTGTAATTTATTTATGGAAGGTTTTAGGGGGTTTTTTTTGCAAACAATAATAAAAATAATGCACAATTATCCCTATTCTTTACTGGACCTAACAGAATAGAAACACAAATAAGGTGCTTTGCGCGTTCTTGCCTTTTTTTATTATTGTTTCTTTTGCTTTTTTGGTAAAAGTTGTTGTCTGTACAACAATAGTCCAAATAATAATGAAAAACATACCTGGGCGGCTTGGGTCTGGGGAGGGGTGGGCTGTGGCTGGCCTGGGGCTCCTCCGGGCAGGTGGGGGGGGAGATGTCTCGGGGCTTCGTCCAGCCTGGGGCTCCTCTGGCTGAGGAGGGGGGGATGCTCCGGGCTTCTCCAGGCTAGGGGCTTGTGGCTCCAGCCGCAGGGGGTCTCAGGGCTTCAGCTGCTGTGGGGGGGAGGGTGCGGGCGGAAGAGGTGGAGTCAGGGGCTAGCCTCCCCAAAGGGGGGAATCCACCTGCTGGCCATGCACTGCCGCCGCTCACCTCCTCATCCCACCCGGCCCACCGCTTGCTTCCTAAATCCCTCCTCAGTCCCCCACCCGCCACTCGCCTCCTCTGACCCCTCGCCCACATCTGCCCCTCGCCTCCTCACTCCCCTGCCAGACACCCCCCTGCCTGCTGCGAGAACCCCCTAGTATTTTACTGACAGGGAAATTTGTGGTCATACTGCACAAAACATTGCATCTCTCTCAAGAAGTATACAGTAGCACCTACCATTCAGGTGATTAAATACTTTTCTTTCTGAAGACAGAAAAGGCAAAACTGCTCTTCAGATTTAGATTTTCCCCTAGTCTAATTAACATTTTAAAATACTGTAATGGTCTTACCAATGGGGAAAGCCTACTAGGTCGTATCCATCCAGTTACTAATGCATGATGATTCCCTGAAGTAAATTCAAGTGGTTAGTCCAATTTCAGTTTTAAGCATCATAAGCAGTAAGGCTTCCCCCACTTCCCTTGGGAGATTATTTCATAGCCTAATGCGGCCGACTCCGATATCATATACCACCATATTTAGGCTAAATTTTCCCTTTTTAAAAAATTTCACATTCTTACTCCAAGTTATAGCCCCCTAGCACTACTCAGTTCCTCTCCTTCTTCACCATACATCCCCATCAGATAAAGGTAGATGATTGCCGTACCCCTCCCACATATACTCATTCATTATTCAACCACACTAACTGGGGTTTGTTGTCTAAAGCCTTCCCATCATTAACTGATGCATTCACAGTCATTATTTTTGCTGTTCTCCAATTCCCCCCAATCTCTTTCTACTGATTAGATGCCCCGATCTAAGTACAATAGTCTAAGTGGCATGTAATGGTGTGTCCATCCCACACAAGCCCTGAGCTGGTTAACATGGATCAGAAGGAGTCAATTAACCTTAGATTCTGCACCTGGAGAGGGCCAAGGGCTTGATAGGGCCTAATGGCAGATGAAGCAGAGCTGGGAGGCAGGGATTGGGATAGCATTATAAAGCCAGGAAGTAAGCACAGTAAAGAGTTTCAGGCAGTAGATCTGCAGTTGCTGCCTAGAGTGAAAAGGTGTTGGCCAGGGACAAGGAAGAGCTCCAGGGGGCAAGTAAGCCCTGGTGTCCTGCCCTGGACTAGGGAGTCTTACAAGAGGCCTAGGAGGTGAAGCGGCCATGCGGAGTGGAGGAAGCTCTGGGGATAAACCCAGAGAAAGGCAAGGAGATGGAGAGGTGGGCAGGAAGGAGTCAAGAACTGCAACGGCAGTCACAGGGTCCCTGGGCTGGAACCTAGAGTAGCAGGCAGGCCTGGGGTTCCACTACCAGCCACTGGCATAGTGGCCCAGAGCTGGAGTTGGAATAGAAGACTGCCTGAGAGGACATACGGACAGCTTGTCTGGTGGGATGTTATTGCCCTGTAAAGGTGGGGGAAGACTATATAGTGACTGGCCAAAGGACTGAATCATCCAAGAGGAAGCACTCCAAGTCATGGAGGTGGGAGGGGGGATGGAGAGAAAGCAACTGATGGCAGGAGCCACCGCATAGGGCAAAAGCTAATTCCCAGAGCCAGGCAGAGAGAGGTGCACCTGCAGTGAGTGGACCCCTTCATATGCTGTTCTACCAGTGTCAGAGACAGACTGCTCTGTTTTCTAAGGCCTATGCAGACCAATATCTCATTGGCCTCTTGGTCTTCATTAAATGCATTCTTCATTCATGTCCTTCCTTTTATTATAACTTTATCCATTAAAGCAGGCCAAATAAGAGCAAGAAAGCTATGTAATCATCATTTGTTTATTAGAATAAATACAGTTATCACAAACCATGCATTAAGTTCCACAACACTCCTGCTGTGATTTTAGAAAACATAGGATTGCATTGTAATTTGCTTACAGTACACTACTTTCACATTCTCACTAAGCCAGACTTGTCCATGGTATGACAAATGCAGTATCTCATCTGCAAGGTTGGTTTTTTGTGTGGTTTTTTTTTAGTAACAGAAATCCAGAGTGAACATTGTTAAAAAATAGTAGAAAAGATTCTTAAAATACATTAATACACAAAGCATTGGGTTTCTATTAGTGGGGAAAAGAAAGTTGTGTAAGTTTTTACATTGATGTAAACACTGTTTTTGTTGCTTTGCAGTCTTGTGAAATGTTAGGACACAGCTGACCATAGCTCAGGCCTCTTCTGAGCCGTAGAGCAAGTTGAACGACAACTGGCTGGGACTGAATCCGCAGTTCCGATGGTGAATCTACAAGGCACATTACATAGGCTGTATAGGCAGCCAATCTCATTAACCATATATAAATGTGGAAGTTTGAATGTTGGGCATGCAGTGTTCACAAACTATGCAACAAGCCTCAGAATTCCCTGGCCTTTTCTACACAACTCTACACTAAGAGGCAGAATTCAAAATTTCCAATCACACGAACAAAATATTAGCCGTCCTGTTCTTTAGCACGGATGGAGGGAGACCTATATTTTTAAGCTTTAAACCCACAACATATTAGCCCATTACAGCCCACACATTAGGAATGAAATAAACAATATTAGTTGGTGGGGAGCTATATCAAGATGATTGTGTTTTAAAACTGATTGCTTTTGGGGAAGCCCTTCTTAAGTTAAAAGCATCCTGTTGGCAATTTGCCCATGGCATACAAACTAAAGGTCCCAAAGCTGCAGTCCCCTGCTCACAGGACTACTCATATAAGGACTATCAAATAGCCCAGTGGTTAGAGCACTCGCATGGCATGTGCAAAACCAACTTCAGTTCAAATCACCACTCTGCCTGACTTGGAGTGGGGACTCGCACTCAGGTCTCCCAACTCCTAGGTGCAGCCCTAATTGCTGGCTTATGGGGTTTTCAGGGGTGGGGCTCTGACTCTCTCCTATTGAAGCTCTTCCACTTCATATCCAATATTTGAGTTTAAGTAGGAGTTTAGGGATCTAGAGGACTAGTCAGCAGCTGAGCAGGGGAGTTGAGGAGCTAAATTTTGGACTTAGGTGCCCAGTTACGCACCTAAATTCCTTTGTGAATCTAGTCCTTACAATCTAACTCACTAGTTCTTCAGTCACCATAGCATCTTCCATGATAGATGCAAGCTGAATTTCAAACAGAAACAAGTAAAAACCTCCTCCCACTTTTTTGTTTTTGTTTTTTTGGACACTAGCCCCCTTAGGCCACTTTTATACCTCATAAAGAAACAAAAAATAAGTGTTTTTCTCCTTTTGCAAGTCACTGTTAAAGTGTCAAGCTGAGACAAAAATGTTAATGAAGAGAAGACTCTTCTGTACAATTACACCACAGTTCACATAGCACAGTAAGGGGACACGCGTTTCCTCTTGGTCTTTAACGCTGAAGGGTAAGTTCAGTCCTGGTGTAAGCAGATGCATTTCATTTGTAGTCAATGAGAGATGAGTCTCTGCTTACAACAGGACTGAACTTGGCCCAGATAATGCAGTAACACTGTCTTCCTTGATAGGCCGCTCTGTTAAATGCTTTACATAAAACCTGGCAGCCCATAAAATGTGACTAATGTGATAAATAGAAAGCAATAATATAGTGGTTTTGAATCTCTCCTCCGCATTCTGGGGGAAGGAATGCTATAAAATACATAGCCTACAAATAACTTACTTTGGTAGCATAATACTATTTCTTTTAATAGCCCTGCCCATAACCTGCTCACACAAACCACATCCTAGCCTTGCCTTCTTTGTTCATTTAACTATCTATCGCATCATTAGACACGCAGATATGTCTGCACAATCAGGTGAAATCTATCTACTGCTGTAAAGGTGTCTTGTGACAAGGTAGATACATTCAAAGGGTCTAGTCTTTTCTCAAGCAAACTCACACTGACTTCAATGGGAGCTTTGCCTAAGGATTATACCACTGAGTCCAGAGTTCGTAGCAGTAGCAAAGTATCACTGGGGATGATGGGATGAAGTCAACTCATCACAGCATCACTAAAAGGAAACTTATGT